ATCAGAACATTCATATACGCTTCATACTGCCTTCCGAATCTCATAGCTTCTTCCATTAATTAATTGCCACCACTGTTTTCGCCTCAGACTGCTACACCAGTGACGATACGATGGGTCTTTGCCTGTTGGCTTACTACATTCTATGTATGTGGTATGAGCAGACAGTTCATGTCTATTTAAACGTAATACAATCTTATACAAGAATTCCATAACATGACACCCATGTGGACAAAACGATTCTCACCCTATTCACTAACAAACATTGAGTATAAGTTATCTTTACAATGGGTTAAAACATTCATTGAGTACTGTGGTGTGTCCTTATATTACAAACTATAATTCTCAGCACCTGATTTAGCGCAGTGCCCTGGGATAACCAGTCAATTTTATCAAAGCTAGTCGTAGGCAATTTAGTCATTAAGATAGGCATACATAGCTATCTGACGGTCCTACATATCATAACACATCATTCTTCAGATTATCATGGTTTCAGCCGAACTACCAACTCATAGCAATACCCCAAGTCACGCTACCGTGGCAGGGTCCATCTAGTCAGGGAAAAAGAGTCCAGCTGAAAATTGCTTTTAGGGCGACGACAGATTAGGCATACTATTTAACTTTGGCAGTTGACTAACCCATTATAAATCATAACGCTATTTTTTCTATGCCAACAGCTCTTGGCACAACCTCACCACGGACACAGGATCAATCTTTCGGTCTAAAAACAATCAGACAACTTCGCCCATTTGTGGCGTCTAAAGTATACTTTCTGCAAATGGCTCAGTACCGTTCAATTCTCCTTTACTCGTAATTATAATTGCATGCACATACATGATTTTTCTTTAAATACAAAAACAAGAATGGTAATATACAGTCAAGGAATGCTGGTCTTGTATCTGCGAGCGTACGTTCCCTAACTTTCACACACAGGGTGCACCCGCATTCTACATCATAACTCAGCATAAACACATTAATAAGTAATGTAAGTACCGTCTTAACACCCATGTGGCCATTGTTCAGGTTGAAGAGAGGTGTCGTCCATAACCGCACGGCAATCATCTTCAGGCGGAACGTTTTATCAACGACAATATAAAATGCATTTCACGGACAAAAACCTAAAGATCTGAAGAAGATGATGTTTGGTCGTATCGTTCGTCATTGCCTCGAGGGTTATGTGGTTGAGACTTGAGTTTGTTCACCGAGTGGGGAGATTTGTTTTTTAAAAGGTATCGTGTGGTGGTCTTTCAGATGGAAAGATGTACCTTTCGACCCGGAGTAGGTCCTGCTAGGCATGGTCAGAGCCCACGTTCTAAACCATCAAAGCTGCATTTTACCCCATAAAGTAATGAGCGCTGAGAGAGATATTTGGGATATGTTTTGAGAATGGAGAGACAAGATTATCCTACTAGACGTGGTACTAGAGAACAGAGGAAAGAAGAAGAAGAGGTAGACCCCCTGGCAGTTTAATCAGAGATGATGCCATAAGCAGCTGATCATGAAGATGTTTCAAAACAATCTGACTCTCGGTTGAGGACTAAAATGCTCCTCGGTATATTTTTCTGATTAAATTCTCAGAAAGGCAGCACGTTGGAAAACAACCATGCCTCTGGTTCTATGATAGTAATAAGAAGAAAACAAGAGCCCTGACAAAGAGTTTTGTGCTCAAATAGCTGAGTCATCTCTAATGATTAAACATTCGGTGACATCAGACGTACAAAAAGACACATCACTTATAATTAAACACAACGAACGCTGTGGGTGCGCAATTTTGGAAGATAGATACTAGATAACAGCAAAGTAAACATCTCGTTAGTGAACAAACATAAACAAAGATCTTACATTAATTTTGTACCTTAGCTATGAAAGCAAACCCTCAACAAGAAATACCCACAGCTCTATAACGAGGGTACTTACTTAAAGTACAAATCAGTCAATATCTATGGTCGTGTAGATAATCTGTTCTGCGTGTTGCACAATGTAATTGAACCGTGGATTTATAATTGTCAGAATTATGTAATTATGTCTGATAGCTGAGCAAAAAATAATTCTTTGTTCGGATGTTTAAACTATGAGTGAGTGCTTTATTAACGGGAAAATCCCGGGCGGAACAGGGTAAAAAGTTGTTTGTTCAGATGTTTCAACTGGGGTTACACGTAATGCGAGGACTTCGTTAACGTGAAAATACCAAAAGGATAGATCTGCTAAAGTTTACTTATTACTGTAAGGTATATAAAGTAGTGGAAGCTAGTGTACTTGAAACTGTCAACTGGGTCCTGTGTCCTTATAGTCTCACTGAGAAGCTGTTGTCTAGTTAGAATCTGTTCCACATCAACTACGGAAAAAGGTACTCACAATTAAATTCTCCTTTTCTGTGTTACGTTTCTGCAGCATAAAACGAAACGCAATAAGTAAATGTTTTAGGTCTCATTGATTTTGTAAGGGGGGGTGTTATTTGGTTCACTTGTTTATGTTGGTAAGTGTTTTACAAAGATCGCAAATGAGCGTGCGAGACACACTTAACAGTTTCAGTTGGTAGCAAATTTTGAATTTTGCCGATGTGGCCACCGAAGCCTACTCTTATTGATTTTGGACCACCAAGGGATCTTTAATGTGCATAACGTGCACAAGGAACATCCGACAATTTTCGCTCTTATCCGAGAAGGCTAGGTGTTAGATCTGACCTACCATAAGAACAGATATTATGTGGCTGAGAGACTGCATTAAAAAGGAGCCAAGGAGAATCAGTAGAAAAGCTAAAGAAAGAGTCTGCAGCCCAGAGGAGGGGGCAAAGGAGGTGAGGGGGTGAGGGCAGAAAGTGGAGACGCAAAAAGACAGAAATATGCTAAAGATCAGGAACAGGGGATAAAGGAAAAACATTTTAATGAGAAATTTATTCCTCAGCCTTCCAGATTTGAACCCGAGTCCAACTGAATGAGAGGCAAACACATTAACCTCTGGACTACGAGAGTCCCCGGTCTGTTTGTGTTTAAAATACTCTTGGACTATTGAGAGCGCAGAAAGCAAATCCTTTGTTTGTTTTGGTAAGTGTTTTTACGGCGCTTGCAACTGCATAAGGTCATATGAGCGCGCGGGACACACCTAATATGTTCAGTTGGTAGAACATTTTGAATTTTGCCCGGGTGGCGGCCGAAGCCTACTCTTATCGATTTTAGACCACCAAGGGATCTTTAACGTGCGCAACTTGCACACGGTCCCTCCGAGATTTTTCGCCCTTGTCCGAGAAGGCTAGGTGTAGATCTTTCCTACCAGAAGATCAGGGGGTGTGGCAGAAAGACAGCAGTTAGGAGGAGCCAAGGAGTAGCAGTAGAAAGCCTGCAGAAAGAGTCAGGAGCCCAGAGGAGGGGGGCAAAGGGGGTGAGGGGGTGGAGACAGAAAATGGAAACGAAAGCAGACAACAGAACATTGCTAGAGAACAGGAAAGGAGGTGAAAGGAGACAATTTTAGGGAAGAAAATTTCCCGGTCGCCACCCGGATTCGAACCCGGGACCTTTGAATGAGAGGCCAACACCTTAAACTTTAGGCCACGAGAGCCCCAAGCAAATCTTTATTAGTTTATGTAGGAACATATTTCAATTAACTGTTCTCTTCTGTTTATACCATAATCTTCATTATAATACTTGTACAGGGCGCTACGTGTGCTTGGACGAACATTGTCTGCACTTGAGGAAGCGTTTATGTGTCATATTTTTGTATGATTTATCTGAACTAATACAGTACACGGTAGAGTATTGATAAAAGATAAATAAATTATGTTATTATTATTTTTATAATAAGTATTATAATGAGTATTATTACTGTTATTATTATTAATATTATCATTATTAATATCATTATTATTTTTATTGTCATATATAATGATAATAATAATAATAATAATAATAATAATAATAATAATAATAATAATAATAATAATAATAATAATAATAATAATAATAAAACCAATAATTATTTTGTTGTTGTTCATTTGTTCATCATCATCATCATCATCATCATCATCATCATCATCATCATCATCACCATCATCATCATCATCATCATCATCATCATCATCATTATTATTATTATTATTATTATCATTATTAATATTATTATTATTATTATTATTATTATCATTATTATTATTATCATTATTATCATTATTGCTGGTATATCGTATGTTTTGATGTATTTATTCATTCATTTGTTTATATGATGTCAACGTTCATTTTGTTCACTCAAGTTAGATTTTGTGACGTATTATTATCTGTTTTTTTAAAATTCAACAGACAGGCTCTGGTGGCCGTATCATTAACACGTCGTTTGTTCCCTATTTATGCAGCTCTAGTGCTTGTGCAAGTTCAGGTGTTGGAGAAACGCCACAAGAGAACAGAGATGGCCTCTGGAAACGAAAGTTATGGAACGTCGCTTGAACCACGCAGATCAAAAATGTCAACGATCTAATCCTTACAATTTTCGTCATCGGTTTCTATGTCTTTATTTTAGGAGCCATAATATGCTTGTTTGGCATTTTGGCTAACGTCATCAACCTCATCGTTTTTATCAGACAGGGCTTTAAAGACACCGTGAACATATCTTTATTCAGTCTGGCCATTTCCGATATAGGATCACTGTTGCCGATGCTCTGGATGAGTATTGGTTTTAACCCTTTCTTAGTAAATGCTTATCTGCCCTTTGATCTCCAAGATGCCTTGTATCTCACGTCAGGGTGGCCACATATTTGCTTTGCCCGTATCTCTGGTTGGATTACAGCCTCCATAATGCTGGAAAGATGTCTCTGTATTGCTATGCCTCTGAAAGTTAAAACAATGATAACAGTAAAGAGAACAGTTATCGTACTCGATAGCATATACGTGGCAATGATAGGTGCCTTCCTGCCAGTGCTTTATGCCATTCGCCTGGAGCCCCTTTATTCTCCTCTAAAGAACGAGACCAAGTTCAGAATCGTTTATATTCCCAACGGCTTAGCCATAGAAGGTGTTCTATTCTTGATTAATGCTATCTCTCAGCTAACCAGCTTTAGCGCAGTCATCATTTGCACTATAATCCTTGTCCAAAACCTCATTAGTAAGTCAAAATGGCGGAAGTCTACTTCCAGTTCTGGTGATCATGACTCGTTTTCAAATAGAGACAAGAAAGTTGTAAAGTTGGTTCTATTTATTGCCATCATTTTCATAGTATGCTTCTTTCCAAGTGCCATTAACTTTATAGTATCTAGCTTCGAACCCGAATTCAGGTCATTAGGGAAATACTGGGACTATCTTGTACTGGCGTGGTCCTTTTCCTCTTCCTTGTCCGCAACGAATTCCGCAGTGAACATCTTTGTGTATTATAAAATGAGTTCAAAGTACACGCAGATCCTGGACAAAATGTTCCTCCGAGGCACAGAGGGCTAATATTAGAACACAAAGGGCTGCTACTTTTGGATAATAATATACAAACCAACTGTGAGTTTTGACCAGCCTTTAAAACTGCCCAACTAATGATTTAAAAATACAGTTTGATCAAATCCTGACAACACGGAAAAGAAAAAGAATAATTATAACATTTAGTTTTAAGAACATACAAACGAAAACTTTAAAAAGAAAGCAAACCATCATTGCCACAGACTAAAAAATGATGATAAATTATTTATGTCCCATTGGCACATTCGAATTAGTTTAGGAAGCAGGCTGCTTTGACCTTGTTTGTCAATTCTGTGGCTAACGGGAATCACTCGTCCCTTGACTTGCGTCGTCTGAAGGTTCTGAGCGCAGAAAAGCTGTAAAGCTGTTTTTCCGCGGCCCTGAGCCTCCAGCCCTGTCGAGGAGTTCTCTTTCCAACAAGACAGTTCATTCTTTGATGGTGACGGCTCAGATATTTCATAAGAATAGTTTTAGATAATCAGATATTTAGGAGACGTCAGCCTCTGCAAGGCGCAAGGCGGCTAAAAAGTCCTTATTCTTCTCTTATGGCTGAAGGGACCTATACTGATTTCATATAAACGTGAGGCAGCGTTGTGGAATCAGGCTCTCGTCAAAATAATGAAATCGAAGAAAACAGCAGTTTTCTCCCTGCTTAGCAATTTTTATCATTTTTTTTGTTTTTTGGCTAAACACCTTTTATGTCCATTTACTAACATATTCCTTCGAGGATTTCACCGGAAACGTTGATTAAAGGCACAAACATATAAATTTACAGTTTCCATGGACTCTCCAGCTTTGGAATTTACCGAGCTTTGGCGGCCATTTTCTGGCTAATTTTACCTCGTAAATCAGGTGACCCCCACCTCCTTCAATGCAAAATATCTCCACTTCTATTGAAGATGGATGTGTAATTTTTTCATTGAAAGGAAGACAAATGAACAAACTGTAAGATGATATCAATAACTCAATATGCCCCAAAAATTGACGAGAGCCTGATTCCACCACGCTGCCTCACATATAAATTTCCTTCTCAGAAAACAACAAAAGGCCCCTATAGCAACCCCCCCTCCCCCCCCTCTTGTAAAGAACCTTAGCCTTTCTTAAAAAGTCAATAAAATAGATATACAACTGTAGGTGTTATTATTTTTATCCGGCTTATTGGACATCTGCAGCATAGTAATAACCTTTTTTTCATCCTTGTTTTTTCTCGCAAATTTGGCATAATTTAACACTCAATCCTATGTACTTACACAAGGTACTTACTATAATAGAGAGTTGATATAGCACGCTGGTTAAAAAAAAAATCAAATCATGAGTGGATAATCAACCAGAAGCAATAAACGTTTGTCAGTTAAAATGTGTTGAGTTGTTTTATGTGTTATGTATGTATGTACGAGGGCTCCCTGTCAAGTAATCTGAAAATGGCTAGTGGGGAAGAAATTTGGTATGGGTCTGAATAATCCTCACTCACTTCTAGGCTAGTTCTCAGTGTAGTTCTTCTATGCAAATCGAAGATTTTTTCCAGCTTCTTATCCGTTTTTAACTTCATGAGACTATAGTAGACATAGTAGGCTGTTTGTCATTGTAATGAAATTAGGCGCCTCTCTCGAAGAAACGGGGAAAATGTCTGTTGAGCAATTCCAAAGGATTTTTAATGTGATTGGGGGGTCGTCACTTACCACCTTTTATGTCCATTTAAAACGAATTTCTGTCAGTCTGAGACTGGTGCCCACCCTGATATTAGCATGGTAACTGCCATCGAGGGAGAAGATAATACAAGTCACCTTGTATCCGCACATGGAAATGACGAGGGGCTAAAAAACCCCAGTCACCAGTGCCTCTTCAACTGAGGAGGAGGGCAGCGAGGGTATGGGGAATCAGATTAGAAAAAGCAAAAGAAGAAAAACAAGAAAATGACAAGTAGGAAACCCATCACAGGAGCCAATGCATAATACATACACTGAATCCCCAAGAGTGCCACATAGAAGAAAGCCAGAAAGGTGTAGGAGCTGTGAAAGAATAAAGGGTAATGTGACATCCGAAAAGACCAACAAGGGACTTTGATGTACGGACGACAGGGGAAGAGGAATGTCGGTTCCAGAGTGGCTCTGTAGGTCTGACCTGTAGCTCGCCTAGCTCGCACCGTGCAAATGAACGTATACATCATCGTGTGACTGAGGAGCGTCGCTGTATGTCTGTCTGTTGTCTGCTGAGCTGCGCGACGCGTCAGACGTGCTATTCAACAGTGTTGTAAAACACGTCTGATACGTCTAGCACGCAGCCTCGCTTCTAGTGGCGGGGCGCCATTGGTGCAATTAGTGCAAGCTCTCCACCTAACCCTGGCCTTCACCCCCCCCCACCCCTTTTACTAATTGTTCTTAACCAGTCAGTGCTCTAGATCTAAATTATTCCTACTAGGCCTACGTCCTGGCGATCCGTCACCCACTGGCTGCGCCAGAGAAGAGACATACGGCGAGGATGGTTTATGCTCGTGGCATAGCTTGCGGTAGTGTCTGCTGGGAGCAGGTAAAATCTTTGCACCAAAGTCATTTTTGTCACTGTAGAGAAATCTAGGCATGGTTCTTACCGCACAAAAAGAAAGGTGCATGAAACTGCTCTTCGCAGCATCAATTTGGTGCAAGCTAAAAATTACTAAAATTACTAAATACTACGGCAACTCAATAAAGAATGGGTATCGAAATTGTTGTCTCCCTCTATTTTGTAGCAAACCCTGGTGCTGTACAAAGTAATTAGAAATCTTTAAATGTTCTCATATTGTGAGTATAGTGAGTTGTAACTATTGTTTCATTTTTGTAGCAGCTTTTATGCGGTTTCCTCTAAAACAGTTGTAAATATCGATAGATGTAAATTGCGCGATATCTTGCTGATTCTAACTGACTTTCTCTAGAAATCTTAATAGGTCTAGTAGCTACTGAGCCTATTGATTATTTGCTCACTTTCCATTTATGCACCACCTTGTCTGTAACCAAAGCGACGTCACTGCTCGCTTTGTGTGTATTTTCGACTGAAATATTCACAGATCATCAAAATCAGCCAGAATGAAGTATTATTAGGTGCTTTGCTATTAGATGTTGATGCCAACATCAACACTTGACCACAAAATCCCAAGAAATGCACTTTATCTTTATCCTACATGAAAATTTCGAATAAAGAGGTTGACCTAGTTTCGACTGTTTGTTCACGTTCGTAGGCCTATGTGCTTCTAGCCATGTGCGACTGTGCTGACACGCAGACGGCGTGCGCTTGGTAAGCTACAGGTCAGACCTACAGAGCCTCTGTGGGACCGGCCTAATAAAATGTGAGGCAGCGTGGTGGAATCAGGCTCTCGTCAATTTTGGAGCATACTGAGTTATTGGCATCATCTTAAAGCTTGTTCATTTGTCTTACTCTCAATGAAAAAAAATACCCATCCATCTTCAATAGGAGTGGAGATATTTTGGATTGAAGGAGGTGGGGGTCACCTGGTTTTAGAGGTAAAACTAGTGAGAAAATGGCCGCTAAAGCTTGGTAAATTCCAAAGCTGGAGAGTCCATGAAAACTGTAAATTTATATTTTTTGTGCGTTTAATCAACGTTTTCCGTGAAATCCTCAAATGAATGTGTTTGTCAATGAACATAAAAGGGGTTGAGCAAAAAAAATTGATAAAAATTGCTAAGCCTGGAGAAAACTGCTGTTTTCTTTGATTTCATTATTTTGACGAGAGCCTGATTCCTCCACGCTGCCTCACAAATATGTTGCACAGAGTCCTCCACAGAGCTAGATCACACAGTCTCAAACGAAGGCGCGCTTCGTCCCCGGGTAATGGTGATCAGCCGGAGAATCAGCGGATGCGGAATGAAGTACAGAAGCAACAAAGACCAGAGGACGCAGTAGAAAGGAAATAGGCCTGGCGGACATTTGGACCCACACGCAGACAACGATGTTTTGACTTCTGATATGGCCAGGAATAATAATGGAATGGACACACGAAAATCTGTTGAAACTAGCAACTCTTAACACTAGAGGACTTCGAAACTACAAGAAAAGGGCACCGGTCTTGAGGAACCTAAGAATCGAAAAATTAGACTTAATAGCATTACAAGAAACATTAGTTGACTCAGATTTTCATCCGATCAATAGACAATGGGGAGGGATTATTCACTATAGTGCATGTACGAAGCATAACAGGGGTAAAATATATATGATAGGAGTTGACAAAATGGGTTACTTCTCGCAATCACAATTAATGGAGATATTGACCAAAAATCGACAATAGGGTCAAATTTGCAGATGTCTTATTGATGTCACATTTTTAAGGCATAACATGCCCTTTATGGTTTCATACTTATAGATAGTAAAAACTTCACCTATAAGCGTGATGTATCTGTTTTCATGGGGATAGAATAGGAGAAGTTACTCATTTTGTCAGAACGCTTCACGTATACTCTTTTTAATCCACGGTTCAAGGAGCATGATGTTAAACTAATTTTTTTAAAAGTGAAATTTTGTCAGCTGTTTTTTGTAATAACAAACTGCTCAAAGTAAATGTATATGATCCTTGCATAGAGACTGAAAACTTAGCGTTTTAAAACTTTCTAAATTCTCAGATTGGGATTATCATAGCCGAGGAGGACAGAAGTATCTTTCATTTATATGGGAGATTTTAACATAGCTCTGAAGGCTGTGGAAATAATTGCCAGTGCGAGCCATACAATAAACACTTGTCGATATCTTCAGACTTGTGTCAGTACCTTGGGTTTGACGTGTGTAGGAAGGTTCATCCTCTTGAAATGTCCCACACTTGGAGCAGAAGAAATCCCGTGTCGGCTAGACGCCTGGACTACGTATTTTTTGGTGAGTCTTTGTAGCCTTATGTAATAAATTCAGTGATTACTAGTTTCGGATTTTGTGATCACCATTTGGTATCCACCACTTTTGACTTTACTTCCTTTAAACTGAACACTAACCTTCTTAGAGATTGCGACTATTGT